TCCCATCCCTTTTTTAGAGAGGAACCTGCAGGGGCTTCATCTCCCCTTGGGAGGTTGAGGACATCATTTCCCCACCTGAAGTGTGTTGAGAGTAGAGAGGGGAGGCCCGGAAGCGGCGGAATCCACAATGGACAATCACATCCTCTTTGGACTGGACTGGCTCACTGTATCCTGGATGGCGTCTCACAAGCAGATTCAGCACAGACATCTGGAGACCATAAAAAGGAGGGGAGGCGTCTGAGGCTGAGCTCCTGCCCTGGGGAGGGAGATGGCAGCCCAAACTCACTCCCCCACACAAACCCATTCAGGCCCAAGAAGCCTCAGACCATCAAGGGATCATCAGTTGGTATCAGACTGATCCAGACCCATTAGAGAAAAGGCACCTTAGCCTCTTCTAGGTCTTGAGGCAGCCCCATTCAAATCAGGCCCTCAAATTCCTTGTCCCAAAGAAAAAATACGACCATCTCTCTCCTTGGGATTCACCTTCTGCTCATAGGGAAGCAATGTGAAAAGCACCAGAGGCTCCTGCTTCTGCTGGAAACTCTCCATAACAGAAACCGGGACGTTGCAAAGGTGGAGCGTAACGTACCATCCTACCTGTGGGAGGAGCACACAGGCAGGTTACATGGAAATCAAGCACCCTCACAGCAGGGAAGGTACAAAGCCAGGTTAAACTCTGCTGGTTCACACACTTAGCCCAACATCTTTCCCAAAAGCAGTGCAGAAAATCAGTTCTGAAATACCAGGTTGACAGTGATGTCAGGACCATGATCAAAACTTCCAGTTTTTTTCTCTCTGTGGCAGCCTCCCTTGGTTGAGCAAGGGAGTTGAGCAATTTTATAATTATATAAATAAATAAATAAATAAAATTATAGGAACATTGCCTGCTGGCTTCCCACAAGCAAAGTCCATGGGGAAGCTGGCAGGAAGTCAGAAGTTGTGGTCATGTGAGCTCCTCGCTTAACAACAGCAACCAGGACTGCTGTCGCTAAGCAGCGCGGTCACGTGACATCATGCTTTATGATGGCAATTCCAGTCTCAATTACCATTGTAAACCAAGGTCTACCTGTAGTTCAACACATCAACACATCATCTGGATTTCTGATAGTTGTGCAAATAGACACTCTGAAAACAAATTTTGGACCCAGGCAGAGTGCCACTACTATTACTGGAGTCCATCAACATTCATAAGTTATTCCAAGGATATTATAAATATGGATTGTTAGCTTCAACAGCGGTGGAACACAGGTCCTTCTAGCCTCAGGTCTGCACCAGCACCTTTCCAGCTCAACACGAACAGCCCCAGGAAAGAATCAGGAATAACAGTCTTTGCAACCACTGGAAATTCAGGCTACATTTTCAGCAGATGTTCAAGCTTGGTTTTGAAGCTGCAGGGGCTCAAAACCTGCATTTATATTAGGGAAACTCAAGCAGCTGAATACTGTGCTCAAATTGGGTGGATCATTCTGAAATTAGGCAAATACTTGCCATCCTGTTCAGGCACCCAACTACTACATTAGAGGTATTACTGTTGGCCTCCGAGTAGCTGGAAAGGTCTTCATCTTCTTTGAATTCAGACCTTCCACCTGCAGATGACTTCAGCATGATGGGCTTCGTTCATTTTTTCGCCTTAGAAATTATATGTAAACCAAAACCAAATCAGAACAGGCAAAGTGTCAGATAACCCCCAAAGGCTTTGATACAACTCTTGAGGCTGAATACTCCAGGGAGTTAGACAGGGCTCTCCCTTCTAGTTTAAGAAGTCACAGCTTGGATACTCCACAAAGAGTTCTAAGCGGCTGACAACCAACAAAGTATAACTCTAAAAGTATCAAAATATAACACGCTGGAAAAGTACAACAACCATAATAAAAAAAAATTAAATTTTAACCCAGCAATTGTTAAGAAGAGTGAGATTGGAGAGAGGGCCAACCTGGGCTCCGTCTGTCATGTCCTCTTTTTTCAACTGCCGGAAGATGTGTTTCCTCGTCCGGGAAAAGTCCTGGAACTGGAAGATCCGGGCATAGTCCCTGGGGAGGTTCTCTTTGGGATCCCAAGGAGATGCTCGGAAGCTTTTCAGTCCCCTGAACTTCTGGAACCTGAGGGAGCCAGGGGGACCATTCCTTCTCCTTCCCTTCAACCCCTCCGCCAGTCGCCAAGCAGCCGCTGCTGCCCTCTCCCCCAACACCTAGAACCCAGCCAGGCCTCTCCAGGGCAGGCAAACAGATTGTCTGGGGCAGCCAGACCGGGCCTTGCCCCGGCCCCTCTGACCCCAGCACAACAACGCCAACTCTGCCCGCAGCCCCGGCCATTTGCTGAGGCTCTTACCGGACCCGGGCTGCCACATCCCGGGGGGTGTCCACCTCATCTGGAAACATTTCTTCTTGCCGCTCCTGTCGATATTTCTCCAGCATTGCTTCTTCTTCCTCCATTTTCTCCTCGGCTGGCTCGGTCTCAGGCAACGTCATGGTTTCGCAGTCCTCCTCCTCCTCCTCGGCAGTCTCCTCTGCACTGCTGCTCCCATTCTGGCAGAGCAAAAGCAACCCGGGCAGATCTCTGAGTGACAGCATATCAGGAGGCCTCCTCAGCTTGCAGTTTTCAGTGCCTGCCACGTACTAATTCCACCTTCAGAGCCCCCTCCGGTGGTCCTTTCGCATCCTGCACAGACTCTTAACCAGGCTACCATAAAAATGATGCCAAATCCACTACCTGGGAGACCGCTTCTTCCATAATATCCTCCTCCTCCTCCTCCTCCTCCTCTTCTTCCTCCTCCTCACTGCCGTTTCCCCATTCTTCCTTGTCCAGGATCCAGGCAGCCTGGTAGGCAGATGTGCCTTTGGGAACCTTCTTGACAACCTTCTTGCTCTGCTTAAGAGATTCTGTGCATTGTGGGAAGGAGAGTTACTGTGGGAGAACCTCTCCCCGTAAAAAGGAGAGAGAGAAAAAAAAAGGCATTCCTCCTGTCAGGACAAAGCCATGGTTATTACGGCACACAGCTGGTTCCCGCCTGGACACACATGTGCCCCCCCTTTAAGATGATGAAAGCAGGTGACTTTCCCTGAAGGCCGTCTGCTGGGAGACCAGTGGGCTTCCTCACACAGTTGGTTGGCCAGTGAAAACAGACTGTGGGCTAGATGGGCTGGGGGTCCGATCCAGCAGGGCACAGCTTATACACAGGCCAAGAAACTAGAGAACTAAGAATGATTTTCTTTTGACTATTTCATAGAGAAAACCAGGCCACACAAAGGAAAAAACTAAGCTCTTTTTCAAGTGTTTTAATTTATTTTAATGCGTTTTGTAGTTGTCTATCAATGTTACGTTTAGCTCTAGATGTAGAATTTAATCAACCTTATGCTTCTTAGCATTTTAGAAATCATAGTTAATATTGACACAAAATTCTTTTTCTACTATATCTTTAAAGGTCTAAGTTATCTAAATCAGAGCGTTAATGTCTCTAATCAATACGGTATAAACATCGTTGTACCCAAATAATACAATGTACTACATGTGTTTTATAATAATACAATAAAACAGTAAAAATAATAAGACTGAGCCTTTGAAGAAATGGTTGAGAGAGAGACGGATGCTACCTCAGTCCCCCTCAATGGGATCTTGGTTAAAGATGGCTGGCCTTTACAGGGAGGACAGGCAGCATTCACACATCAGGGTTAAGACACAGTCTGGTTTCTTATGGTTCCACCTTAGCCTATGTGAATTCAGCCATTATAATTAAAAGCTATGGCTAACAGCACAAAGCATAAACTGAACTAGTTTAAGAAAACATGGGTAAGAAAGCCTGGCTTAGTGCAACACGTGAACGAAGCCAGGACCGTAATCTCCGACTCACCCTCTGCCTCCCTCAGCTCCTCCTCCGTGGGCCAGGTCTGCTCTCCTTCCATTGGATCTGGGACCACTTCCGACTGCAGAGACTCCTGCTTGCCAGGATCAGCCTTGCTCAGCACCTTCATCTCTTCCTCCATCTCAGTGACACTGCTGATAAGGTCGTCCTGCAAGAGTCAAAAGAGCTCAAACCACGTCCCCTTTGGGGGAGAAGCGTTTCAGACACACTCTGTGCAGGAACAGGCCCCACCTGTTTCTTCCTACTTGCCAGCTGTCCTCCTGAGAACTTGAAGTTCAGGGCAAAGAGGTCCCGGGGGGCATCCACCTGACTCATCTGGAAGTCTCCATGCCCAACAAGATGCACCAGGGTGTTGACGTCCAAGCTTCGTCCTCTCACATAGCCAGACACCTTTAAGGTCCCCACCAAGGCACTGTCAGAGCTGGGCACAAATTCGGCAGCTTCAGCCAGCAGGTGAGCCCGCCGGTCTCGGAATGCCAAGTGTTGCTGCTTCTGGCTGGCCAGGTGCTGCAGTAGCAGCGCAGACTCCTGCTCCGTGCCGAGAGAAAAAAGCCTGGCCCCGGGAAATCGCTTCTCAACAGCCTTGCTCAGCTTTTTCCGAGAATCAATTTGCTTCTTTGGCAGCTGCTCAGCCAGACCTTGAACAGCGAGGCCTGCGAGGAACAAAGAGAGAGAAAGGCTTCCTTAACTACAGAAAGCTAGATAAGGCTTCCTTTCCATAATAACTGAGGCTGTTATTACCCATATGACAAGTCCTTCTGGCTAAACAGAGTGCCCCATCCATCCAGCAGCTTCTTGAATTCTATGCAAGAGACAGAATCCTTTGACTGTAAGCTGCACTAGAACCTTCTCCTGCACAGCTCTCTGTGGATCTACCTAACAACCAGTATTCCCCCTCCATCACTGAAGTAACTCTAGGCGGCTGATAAGTTAGTGCTAAAACAAGAGCATAATATAACGAGAAAAAAATAACCAAGCAGCAATAATAATTACAGAGCACCAAGGAAAGTAAACTCATTCAGTCAAAGACCCAAATGTCCTGCCAGGGAGAGGATCTTTCACAGAACAGGTTCAGTTACAGACAACACACAACTCCCAGGTCCCACAGCAGGACAAGGCTGCTTTACGGCAGGGACTGGAGCCTCCCAACATCCCAGATTGTATCGGATGGATGGAAGCTCCATGGAGGCTGCATTTGGCATCACACTCACCATAGCTGGGGAGGCCCTGAGCAAAGATGCAGGAGAGGCAATGATCACCAGTGGCGTCCCAGCCTTCTGCAGCATCAAGCACAAAAAGGAGGGTATCGGCTACTTTGGCAAGATCCAGCACAGCATGGAGACTTCCTGGGGGGTAAGAATCATAGAGGTTACAACTCTTGGGAAAATGCAGGAATAACCCAGAAAGCTATTTCTCTAGGTGTAGAAGCTGCCAGGATACTTCTGCAAAATGAGGCACGTACCTGCATCAGCCACTGCGAAACGCCAGCGCAGCTTGGACCGGGGGCACAGCAGGGCAAAACCAGGTGCCCCCCCCTTTGCCGGGAACACCACTGAAGCCTCGTTGCTCTGGAAGAGGCTCAAGGCAGCGCAGGGGTCAACGGCAGCGTGCAGCGGCACCAGCACCACCAGGTGTGGGGGCCCATCCTTGTGCCCCAAATTCCGCTTTTCTTCCAACACCTGCAACCGGAAAGAGCAAAGGTGGGCGGTGGTCCCGCTCCCCCTCCCCCCCTCCAGGCTAGCTGCCCCAGAGTCAACTGCTCTGCTCCGCTCCCACCGCCCACTCACAGCCTCCTTGCGCCGCTGGCGGAGCTGCCACGCCCGGTGCTTGCGGTCCTGCTTTGACAGGTTGCGGTGCGCCTGCCGAGTGAGGGTCTTGACGGAGACCCGCCCTGGAAAAGGACAGAGGGCGGAATGGCAGGAGACGCGCGTGCTGACCGGCTCCCCTCACCCCTCCTGCCAGGTCTGAGATTGGAGTTTCTCAGTCTCCGCAACTTTAAAGGAGTGGACTTCAACGCCCAGAATTCCCCAGCCAGCACGGTGGCTGGGGAATTCTGGGAGTTGAAGTCCACGCCTCCTAAAGCATGCAGGGCTTGAGAAACACTGAACTAGATCGCGCCGAAAGGGTCTGAGCGACGCGCTTCTGGGCTCAGTCCGCTTCGACCCTTGGGAATAGCCTGGGGAGGATAGAGTGGCCCTGGACTGGAGGCTCTCTTCAAGACCATCGACGATTCTCGGCTTCCACCATCGTTTTAGCAAAATGACCCCCGGGGAAAAGGAGGCCCTCGACGCGCTCACCTCCCTGCCTCCGCGTGGGGCTGCCACGGTGCTTCCCGGCTTTGTGCGGCTTGTTCTGCTGCTTCAAGGCGCCGCCTCGGTGGGAGGCGGCGGCAGCCTCCCTCGCCATGGCCACGCGCCTCTCGCGTCGGAAGTGACGTCCCGAAGTTCCCGTCGCTGCCGCTCTAGGACGCGCTTCTCTCGGGCCGCCGCGT